ATAAGATAAAATAATATAATATAATATAATATAATATAATATAATATAATATAATATAATATAATATAATACAATATAATGGAATATAATATAATACAATACAATAGAATATACTATAGTATAATATAATAGGATATAATAAATATCGAATATAATATAAAATAAAATAAGATAAAATAATATAATATAATATAATATAATATAATATAATATAATATAATATAATATAATATATCATAACATAATATAATATAATAACAAAAAGCATACTATACCACACTATACCATAATATACTTTAAAGTGTTCTACAATCGAACAGCAGTAAATTCTATAACTACCGACTTAGAACCCTACCGAGGACGAGGCGCCGGTGCAGACGGACAAGCTGAAGCAGGGGGGCTCGGCGTCACTAAATGGGTTTTGGGTTTAGGGTTTAGGGTCACCAGATTATGGATAGTTCTACATTGGGGTCCCTTTTCAGGTCCCCAAATAGTACGGCGGCCTTGAACAAACACCCTAAAAGGGACCCTAACTTAGTAAATCTAGTATAGAAGCCTGAATAGTTACCGATATCATTCCCTGAAACCCCCTATAACAATTGTACTATAATATACTCCCGAATGCTTTTTTAATTAATACGGCCCTACATTATACTACGATGGTTGGCACTTCTTTCAGGTTGTAGCGCTGCAAGCGACTCTTCGTTTTCTGCGTAGTCCGATTGGGGTTCCGGCTGGAGTGGGCTGTTAAAAGTGGCGGACTGGCACCAATGCCACCTGTTTGACTTGATGCTGTGCCCAAAAGTAAATCATTGGGGGCATTCTGTCTGTGAACTGAGTTGAGGCATTGGGACGGTGATGCTGCAAAGGGATGATGGGGTCGATGATTAGCTCCAACATACTAGCACCGACAATGAACAACTAAGACTTGTATCATTCATCAGTTTATTTGCTTACTGCACTGTGTCAGGCAAGACTGTCCGTCTAGACACTCTTACTTCAGAAAGACTGCCTCATGTCTTCCAGGTCTGCTTGAGCTCGAACCTATCGCAACATGCGGTGTGATCTCTCGCGATTCCGAATTCACGGTGCCAATGCACAAGGGCACAAGGTTTGTCTCTGGCCTCTCTGCCTCTTTTCGCCTTTCTGTCTGTATGTATGGATGGGTGGATGTATACCTTCCGTTTACTTGTTGTTGTAGGATGCGGTGTTCGAGCATGTTCCCCTCTGGTCGAATTTCGTGCCGAGCTGCACTCTGGATGTCTGATTTTGCACAGCTGTCTGCCCAGGTCCTTCCACTGAGTGCTTTGGCGACAACCCAACTCCGTCCGATGCGGAATGCAAGAGATGGGCCAGTGTTGGATTTCAGGTCTCCCGTGTCTGATCACCCCGTAGTTCCGCTTGTGTCCAAGATCTATCTTGCTGTCGGCTTACAGCCTGTGGCTCGCATAAGGCACAGCATGAGTAGGAGGCTCGGGTCAGCCTTGAAGTTGCTAGAGGCAGCAGCAAAATCCCTGAGGTCCCTGACTTGTTGCAAGCTGCCTGATCCGAAATCTCAGACGTCTTCCCAAGCTCCTCTCAACATCCAGCGTGACACTGCATGGACCTCTGCTGCATGTCTAGTTCCTAGTTGCGAGTAGCCGCAGAACGCTGGGTTGAGCTGCTGCCGCTCTAATAGCAGCAGCTGTTGCCGCAACCCATGCCAGGCTCTCGGTCGGTTTGTGAACTCGCCGAGTGCTCCTCTCACTCTTCAAACTCGAAGCTTAAGGATCTTTGGAAATCCCGGGGGCCCCTCGCCGTGAGTCTTACTTACTACTCTAATCACTGGAATCCCAAACCCGAAGTCTTCATCAAAGCTGCGAAACAGCAAGCCCGGAACCCTGTCAAAATCCGGCATAAACAAAAGGCACCCTACAGAGATCCCAAGGAATCACCGCGCAGCCACAGAAAGCTTCAAAACTCTGAGGCCCAGGCCGCCAAGACCTCACGGACACCGACATGCCCGAGAAGAAATCCAAGGAGCCGAGGGTTTAAGGGCATTCCAGGGGCCTTAAGGGTTATAATTTTACTATTTTGGAGGTTCCTTATTATAGTTATGGTATAATATAACCGAAAACTCTATTCTAATTATTAAGACCCCTACATTATCTGCTGTCTGTTAATCAGAGGGAGGGGTTCTAAAAGCAGTTGTGGTCGCTACCAGTGGCGCTTAGCAGGTGCACCGAGGAGTTTGCTGCTATTGCCGGGCGCACTATACGGATTGAATATTTTTGGTATTCCTGTGGGTTCCCTCATGCAATTTATCTTTAGTCTAGCATCCTCCAAGACCTTTCGCAAACCATTGAGGCACCATCTTATTGCTTTGTCTGTCCGCCTTGAGACTCCCCGCCTTCCGTCCAGACGTTCAGTTCCAGGAAGCAGGTCGAAGAAGGAACTGCTGAAGACGCACTTCAACGGGAGGAAGGCGGATTTTGTCTGGTGCAGGGCCGGGTGGTGAGCTTCCTGCGGGGTTTGTTTCCTGGACCCTTCAATCACAGCATCTGCTGGATCAGCTTACTCCAGCGCATGTTATGATGAGGGATGGGCCCTGCGTTCTGAAGCTTGTGTGCCTGAACCGTGTACGAGACGAACTGGAGTCCAGAGGAAACACCCTTCTTTCGCAGGGGTCCAGCAGCAGTTGCAGTTCGCAGAAGCCTTTGCCAGATTCCAAGCGGCTTGTGATTTCAGAGCGGCAGAGTTTCTCGTCATGCGAGGTATGCTGAAGGTCCGGTAGAAAGACGAAAACCCTATTATGAGCCTTATGACGCCAGAACTCGACCAGCTCCTTGAGGTCCTTGCATCCGTGAGTGCCCGCAAGCCTGAACCCAGGAAGGCGAAAAAGCAACGCACCGTGGTCTCGCGCAGCTTCGTGGCGGGCTGCCCAGAGACGGCTTCTTTCGGAGTACGATTCGTCAGTGCTTGGAGGGGGTGGGGATGTGGCCGTGGCTTTGAGCTAGAGATTGGGGGCTTTTGGTGGTGTGTGTTGGTGTTTCTCAGGCTTGGCTTCTTTCCTCTCTTGCCAGCAAGCAGAGGGTCCGGATGTCGCTGTCAGTCTGGTCCATGTCATGTAATTACGCACGAAACGATGCTGACTCACAAGCCGAGGCCCTGGACGTAAACCCTAAGCGGCGCAATGCACCAAAAGAAGCCCTAAACCCTAAACTGTTTGAGCCCTGATCCCGACGGCCCAGAACTCCCGGTCTTGAGGATACGCTTCGCTGCGGGCGGCGGGCTGCCAGATGTGCTGCAGTCTTGCGGCAAGGCCAGCAATTAGGGGAGCATCCGGAGGCTTCTAGATAGAAGCGGCCGTGACTGCGCAGCTCAAAGACTAGACAGTCTACTGGTTTGCCTTAAACCATACCAAAGCCGCTAAGTCTAAACCTTGAGCCCTAAGACCTTAAGCTTAAACTCTAAGCCTTAAGCCGCACATCAGGTGTGAAGAGGTGCTTCGGCCAACTTCAGGTGGGAGAGCGCACGCCGCTGTTGCTTCTACAGCAACGACAACAACAACTCCTCCTGCTGCTGCTGCTGCTGCTGCTGCTACCACCGCCGTCGACGCAAGCACCGCCACCATGCCCGCCGCCACCTGCGGCAAATGTAGTCTCACTGGTACATGTCATCGCCTGGTGCAGACTCAGCAGCCGCAGACTATGCTGACCCCTTCTGGCAAGGACGAGGAAGATGTCCAGATGGTGGATCTTGCTGATGTCACTCGTGCCCAGAGCCCCAGAACTCTGCGTTCTCATTGCATTTGAATGTTCCTTTTGTCCCACTGCTCCTACCGCTGTCACTACCTGCAATAGCAACTCCGGCTCTTGCTCCTGCTCCTGCTCTTTTTCCAGCGTTGCGAGGATGACTACTACGCTTGGCTGCTTGGTGTTTGGGACTGCTATCAAGCTGAAGTATGTCCGTCGCATTACCGTTACCGTAAACCAAAGTCCCAAACTCTCAAGTCCTTGAAATTCCAGATTTTGCAACCCCAGCTGGACCTGAAGCGCATCCTGCTCTCTGCATCAGGAAGGCAAGAGCCACTTCCTGACAGACTCAGGCCAGGGTCTCAACGATCGCGTTGTACGTGTTGACGTGCCGGCACCATTCCTTTATCCTTGAATGTGTCGAAATCTAGTACCACCACAGAACGTCGCCAAATCGTATGATTTCATGTGACGTTGCTGGCCGGTTGACCAAAGGTCAGTTGCCAAACAGTCTAAATGAGCCCAGAACCACAACCCAGACAAAGATTTTGTTGCTGAGATTCGCCTCATACGCCGACTCCACGCTCAGTCAGCCTGGAGGCTGGTGCAATTTGCCCTTGGCTGCGACATGGGTCGTTCTCTAAATTAGGGTCGCTTTTAGGGTACTTTCTATAAGGGTGCCGTACCATTTTGGGAGACGTAAACAGGGATCCTGATTTAGAGAACTACCCATATGCAGGTGGGGTAGGTGTAGAAGTGGGTGGAGCTAATCCTCTTTCTCCGCAGGTACGCTCCTCGGGTCGGAGCGTCATCTTCGTCAGGCGGCCGTTGGCATTTGTTCCTCTTGTGATGATTACTGTACTATTGGAAGGGACTGCGCGACGAAGATGGCAGGAATCGAAACTCCAAGCTTCCTCCTTTGTCGCCTTCCTGCGGCTTCTTGGTGGCATTTCGCTGGTCACTGGAGATGGTTCAGGGTTTATGAGAACGGTGTCTTTCATCGTGTTCTTGTCGCCTTTGTTGTTATCGGGCACTGGTGTCATGTCGGTCCGTTGTTCTACGGATCGTACCATCATGGATGCTCTTGTCTCTGCTATCATCACCGCTTGTCAGGGAGCGCAGTAGTCAGCTCCGGAAGGCGGAGTGGCTGGGTGTGTGGGTCATGACAGAATATAGGTGCCTAAACAACCAGATTAGGGTTTGGCGAGATGTTAGAGTATATAGTTTGTATATATATATATATAAATCATATATAGGGACCATGCGGGAATACCATGACTCATTATTCCGGTGGCTCGCAGGCGCCTACCAGGGAGACGAGGACCTGCTGGGTGTCAATGTCACGTAGCAGGAGAAAGCTTGAAAGCTCTATTATATAGAATAGATATACAAGGCCCTTCATAGTAGTCCTATCATAGACTATTCCTGTATGCGGGCAGTACCCAAGCTCTAATTTTGGGTGCGGCTACAGTCAATGACTCTTGGACTCTGGGGTATTCCGGAAGTTGGATGTTCGACGGGACTGGACTCGAATAGCAAGAGAGCAGCCGAAAGAGGGGCTTCAGCTCATGCCGCCACGATGGCACCAGGCTAAGAGTTCCAATCAGACGGCTTCGCATGATGAGATTGATTTAATCTTGTTCGTGTTCGGACTGGCATTGCAGCAGAAGGACTACGCTCTCTTTTTCGGGGAGCACTTCGATCACCTTTGTTCGAAGCTCAGTGTGCCCTAGGTTCAGGGTGACAAGCCGAAGGAGCTAGCTGTAGTCCGGAATCAGTGAGCCCCTAATTCAACAGACTCACCTGTCACATCCTGGATTCCTACGCTACCACCCCAAAGGCATTTCATCAAAGCGTATCTGTTATTGTCTGCTGTATAATCGGCTTGTGGCAGAAAGTGTAGTAGTAGTAGTAGTAGTAGTAGCAGCAGCAGCAGGAGTGATGGTGATAGCAGATGAAGATCAGAGTGCAGCCTGAGGCATTGGGGAGGCCAAGATGCTGAAGCAGCCGGCGCACTTCGACTATGCTCCGATCCTTCCGAATGACAAGGACCAACTGAGATTTCTAAGTTTACGGGGCTTTAGGTGTCTATGCAAACCTTTCAGGGCTTGGGGTCCGTCTTTTGGGACTTTCGGCTTCGTTGGATGCTTGGCTGGAGTGTGCCGTGGGAGCAAGGCCGAGGATCCCAGGCCCAGAACGATTCCGGGCTTTATGCGAAGCAGATCAGATCAGGACAGTGCGCAGGAATCCATGTGCTAGGTTGGCATGTGAAGAAGCAGGCAGAACCCCCTTAAATAACGAACAGGCTTATGAGCATCTTTGTGCTGGCTTGGGCAGCAAAGCTTTTGGGTCCAGCGATTTTCGGTTTTTGTGGAAGCCCCTACCTGTTGGCCGGAGGCTCAAGTGCGCAGGACCATGCTTGACCGGATAGTGCCTGGGCCTTGGTGGTGTGGGGGAGCGACATGTCTTGGCAAGTCGATGGTACACTTTACACACCATGCAGTATGTGGCTAACCTACGCCATAGCATGCAGCAGCATACTCTGCAGCACGGAACTTTACTGTGTCACTTGCTGCACCATGCTCTACTGTAGAAACATGATCTAAGCATAGTGTACTACTACTAGCACTAGCACTTGTTGCTACTGTGGTACTACAACTACTGCTGCTACTGCTACTTCTACTACTACTACTACTACTACTAATTTACTGTATACTACTTACTACTTACTACTTACTACTTACTACTCACCACTCACTACTTGCTACTTGCTACTTGCTACTTACTACTTACTACTTACTACTAACTACTTACTACTAACTACTAACTACTAAAAACTTACTACTACTAACTACTAACTACTAACTACTAACTACTAACTACTTACTACTTACTACTTGCTACTAACTACTACCTACCTACCTACCTACCTACCTACCTACCTACCTACCTACCTACCTACCTACCTACCTACCAACCACCTACCTACCTACCTACCTACCTACCTACCTACCTACCTCCCTACCTACCTACCTACCTCCCTACCTACCTACCTACCTACCTACCTACCTACCTTCCTGCCCACCTACCTACCTACCTACCTACCTACCTACCTACCTACCTACCTACATGCATAGATGCATACATGCATACCTGCATACGTGCATACATGCATGCATACATAAATACACACATACATACATACATACATACATACATACATACATACATACATACATACATACATGTAGTCATATGCGTGCATATACATTTTGGTATACAGTTATGTTATCACGTTTGGAGAGGAGTTTTCAGACATAGAGAGCTTGAAATTATTCGCATTCTTGTGAAAACAGTGATGTACCAAGTAAGTGTGTGTGTGTGTGTTGTTGTTTTTTTGTGCGTGGTGCTGTTTGGTGGTTGGAGTCTTGAGAGCTTCTACGTTATGGGTGCCTCTTTTGTGGGCATTCATGCTGTGTAGGGTCCAGACGCCACGGTTTTGTGGTTTAGGGCCAAGTTCTGGGCATGATTTCGATACCGGCTGGCTAAGTAAAATCGCGAACTGCGTTCAGAAGAGCTCACTATGGTATAGGTACTCACTCAATGCAGCCCAATTCACGAGAGGCAGAGCCCTGGGTGTTCAGGCTCCACTGTTTAGCGACAGATAAATGCAGGTACCATTCCCCACTGTTAGCCACCGAGGGTTTCAGTTTCTGAGGCGAAGGAATGGAGCTCACGGGCTAATCTGAACTGTTACAATATCATAGCCATGGCCCCCATGCCGCCAGGTTTACGGGCTTTGTCTGTGCATGTCTATCTTCACACCATCACAGTGCTTGCTGTGATCATCTTCAACCTGATGTTTAGGCATGTCCAGCAGCCTCGCACATCAGACCCATAAGATATGCGCGCAAACCAAGACTTTAGCAGCCTCGCGTACTTGCGCTTTGCAATCCGTCCAGCCATAGCGTGATGCACCGAATGTTCCCAATGTGCTAAGCTCGCGCCCCTTGCATTAGAATGTCTAAAGTCTTACAAGACAATCTGCTGTGCTATGAAAGATGCGGTTCTGTGAAGATACGGCTTCCGGTTATTGCGCCCCCCTATACTCGACCCCTATAGTCACGCTTATAGTAACTCATTAAGAGGAACCGTTTCACAGGAACCGGAAAACCCTAAACCCTAAACCCCACCATCCGTTGGGAATATGAAATTTGGAGGTGCAGGCACCGCCAGAAACAAGGCCCCCCCGACGGCTCTGCGACAGCACCAGCCGACGCATCCGACGCTTGGTGATGTGGACTTCACCCTGAGACAGTCTACAGGGTTTAGGGTTTAGGGGTTTAAAGGTTAGGCTGGCTGCGAGAGTCCTGGTTGCAAGAAAGTGTTCCTGTTTTCAAAGCTGGCGAACCTTTTTGGGCATAGTTTTCGATTAAAGCTGCCTTGTAACACAATGCCTGGATGGGCGCCAGGGTGTCGAGTTGCTGAGCCACGGTCACTTTCAACCCGCTGAGTATTGCTTAGGGCTGAGTCTAGCCAAAGCAAACTGGTTTCAAGTTTAGGAAAGTACTGTACGGGACCCTTACTTGGAGGTTCATGGGTAGTTATAAGTGGGTTATAAGTCCCCTAACGCAGGTTATAACTATAGTTACCTTGTTTGTGTAATCCCACTTATAACTACCCATGAGCCTCCAAGTATGTAGGCCCTTTCAAGGATCCTTGGATAAGGCACCCCTACAAAAAACCTGCAACAATCCGCTGGAAAGGTCTGTACTCCAAACACGCTTCAACTCTCGGTCTACTGGTGGGCACTTTGCATTTGTACCTTAAACCCTAAGCCCTGTACCCAGGTGGCTGCGAGCCAAAGCTGGTTTTGTGGACTGCGATTTCGGTTTAGGGTTTGGGGCACAGTTCCGCTTTCTGCCAATGGTTCAACCGCCCAAACCCTAGCCCTAGCGGTTTCAGGACTTTTCAAGGAAATCGAAAAAGGTAGGTGTTCACAGGTTTTCCAACGTTCAGGCAGGGTACTTTAGGGTTCAGGTTGAACAGTGTCGCAAAGCAAGACCACACTGGAAAGCCAAGGGAAGCGAGAACGGGGAAGGTGTTCGCATCTCTTGGCTCCGTCTTTCACGACGAAGGGAGGCTCCTGTTTTACGGTGTCAGGGGTTCCTTGCTTAGGATACGTACCCAGAGAGCCCAATACCCCTTAATTAAGGAATATATACCTTAAATTATAAGGGCCTTAATAGTATGATTTAAGGTATATTCCTTAATTAAGGGGTCTTGGGCTCTCTGAGTAGCACGTAGAGTATCATTATCCCTACATGAGTGGGCGAACCCCATATCAGGAGATCCGGAACCCACTACTAGTTAACTATATCTTCGGGGCTGAGTAGGTAGCCTTTAACCTTTTGGGGCTTATATAAGACTATTATAATTCAAAAGGTTAACCTTTTTTGGGCTAAAGTACTCGGCCCCTAAGATATCAACCCTTTAAAGCTACCTGTTGTTGTCGCCTGATCGTCTAGGTAGACCCTAAGAAGCCTTGAAAAGGCACCCTAAACCTGGCCTCAAATCCTAAACCCGCCTTAAGGGTTTAGGGCTTAGGGCAAAACCCAAATCGCTCAACAAACTCATCTAAACCCTCAACCTCGAGCCCCGAAAGAGCGAAAGGTTCATAGAAAGCAAAGAGCCGGAACCTCAAGTCCCACGTCCGACCGAGAACACCCGGCTCGATGTACGTAGGGTCGTAGGGTTGTAAAGCAGATTTAGGGTTTAGGGTTAAGGGTTGTAAAGCACATGTACATAAAGGGTTCTTAAAACCCATACTTGTGGTGGACCTGCGATGCTTTGATCCTGTCCTGGGAGTCGAAACGAGACCCTGAATTTAACAGCTGGCAGGTGTCAGCCTTGCAGATTCGTGTCACTACCGGACGGCTGCCGGAACGGTGCCGAATGCAGCTTGCCTGTTTCTGTGTGTGCGGACTAATTCTTGGATGCTCTGTGACCCCGAACCAGTCCTGAACACAAAATCTCCAAGGCACTAAACCCCTTACAAGCCCAAAAGCCCTCTATAGGCCTGTATACTCCTACACCTGCAAATACGAGAGCCCGATCCCTTTTCCCCGAAACGTTTGAAACCCAAAACCCTAAAACCCTAAGTGCTGAGCTTGGAACTGGAAGCTTCGGAAATTTTGGAGAACCTCAAACCTCGAGTCTTGAACCTTGACGCCAACAGCTCAGAATCCTAAATCCTAGCTTGCCAGCTGCATGCGAGAGTGAGAGTCGAAATCCTAACTGCAATCGAAACCTTAATAGATTACCCTAAACCCTAAACCCATACTGCTCGAGTTACTCTAGTTCTTGCCCCGGAGCCCTAAATCCGAAATTGGACGCCGCACGCTCAAAGCATGCTCATCGCGAAGTTTGCCTTCCATTCTTGTTGGTTCGGCTCAGCTCCCCAACAGTCGGTCCTCTTCAATTCCGGACTTAGGGTATATTGTTTAGGTTTCGGGGTTTGGGGTTTATGGTTTAGGGGTTTAGGATTCGGGCTCTCTTTTCTCATGTTGTTCATCCTTTCGAAGTTTGAGACGGAACTCAGATGTATGACTGAATGGGTGGCCTGTGGATGCGTTGACTTGATTGTTCTTGGCTAATTCCTGCTGCTGTGACGGTAGTCAATAAGCCATAAGTAGTTTTCAAGGGTGTGGCGCATCACAGCATGTAAAGCAAGAAGCAATCGTGACAATGATGTTTAACACTGTAGTCGTCGTAGATCGAAAAGTTAGAACTATGATACTTGGCATCTTCCTCATCATTAGCATCCTCATGCTTCTCCTCGTCCTCACCCGCATCATCATCAGCCTCACCCTCATCATAACCAGCCTCGAACTCAAAGTCTCAACCAGCAATGTCTGCAGCAGCACCACCATCACTGTTAGCATGCTAGCAGCAGCAGAAGCAGCAGCACAAGTAGTGGATGCATCTGTTGGCATCATGATTTTGACCGCCCAGCCTCCGGATGCGTAGGGCTAACAGAATGTGGAAGTTCCGCGATGCCTTAGCGGGACACCGTGGCCGAGAAACTGTAAGATTTCACGGTCTGTAGTGCAGAATATTCATTTGCCATTCCCAAGCATGGCAGGACTGAAACCCCGAACCACCCCAAGATTGATTCCTGGATTCTGTGGTCTTTTGGATGGAATCTTCCCAGCAGCAAAGTTTCCTGTTGTAGTTGCAGCTCTTGGATCCCATTGCAAAGACTACCAGAAACGACAGTTTTGAACTTCACACCCCGCACCCTCTACCCCCTACCCCCTACGCCCTAAACCCCGCACCAGGAACCTCGCCCAGGCATGTCCGAGTGTGAGTGCTGAAACCCCACACCCTCACCATCAGAGGCACGTTTTGCCACAACGAGTCGCACGAGACGGATCCGAACAGCGCACACCGGCCTCCCAAGGGTGTTCGTTCAGGCCAGGACTGCGGCCGGACGGGTTCCATTTCCTAGGCAG